CACTGAAGTATAAACGCGGCGCGAAACCAATCCAGGGTTGCTCGAAATTACCGAGTCTGTTGTGCGATTAAGTTCGCAGAAGGTTTAACGCAGCGCGTTTATGCATCGGGCTAACGGACCAATATTTTCTTAATATATTTATTTTACAAACGTTGTTCCGGGGAAGGTCTGTCTATTCATTATGAAACGCCCAACAGGCAACAGCTATCAAAAAGGCCAACTCGGAAAAGGGTATTGTCTCATTGAAGACCACACGTCTAAAAAAAACACCCTCATACGCATGTATGTATGTATGTGCATGCCTAGAATATATAATAGAATATAAAAATTAAAATGAAAAATTAAAAAAAAAATTAAATTAAATGAAAAAAATGACGAAAATGAAGAACACGGATTCATTGCTGCGCCACTTATACGTACATACATACGAGCATATCTGTGCACATTATGAAAGCATAAAAGCTTACACATGTCCATCACATTAAATACATATACCCCTGTGTATATATGTACATATAGCAATGTGTGTTGTTGGCGTTTAAGTGTTGACGCCGCTTTTATTTCATTTCAATGCATTGCTGCATTCCGGTGCGCCTCCGTAGCCAGCCGCGGGAAAATCTCTACACAAGCACACCCATATACATTTATGTATATATGCATATATGTATATACAGTATGTACATATAAGGACTCACAATGTGCCTGTGAAAATTCTCTGTTTGGTAATTGCGCCGGAAATGCGTCGATGAATTGTTTTGGAGCATCCATATGGGGAAAGGGTAAGAGGTCATCAATGACGGCGGGTTGCGGGAATTTCGTTACGCGCGTAATGTGACTGACATAATTAACTAGTTCTAACTTGCAGAAAAGTATACTAGTTACCAACTAGAATGCACATTGTATCTCTCTCTCTCTCATTCTATCTGTCTCATTCTCTCTCTCTCACTCTCTCGCTCTCTCTCTCTCACTCTATCTCTCTCTCTCACTCTATCTCTCACTCTATCTCTCTCTCTCTCTCACTCGCTCTCTATCTCTCTCTCACTCTCTCTATCTCTCTCACAATCTCTCTCTCCCTTTCTCTCTCTTTCTCTCTCTCTATCTCTCTCACTCTCTCTATCTCTCTCACACTCTCTCTCTCCCTTTCTCTCTCTTTCTCTCTCTCTATCTCTCTCTTGAGAAGCAGGTGCTTTCAGCGCGTTGAAATTTTTCCAAATGTAAATTATTTGTGCGATTAAGTAACAGCTACATACTAGTTAAATACTAGTTCATTTATGCATGTTGAATTTCTGAAACCAAAAATTAAAAATAAATCGTCCAACAAGTTCTGAAGCGCGTTGCAATTGAGCCTTAGGCTAGCAGACCACTACAGCGCCTTGTGGATGCAGGCTTTCTGCTTTAGCTGACGTGATATTAACCCTTCTAGCGCAAGAAGTACCCCATTTGGTTAAAATATTCTTCTTCTTCTTCTTCTTTTTTGACGGAGACACCCCCCTAACGCGATTATGGCGAAGTTAACAACAGCACCTCAATCATTTCTTCTTTCGCTGGTCTTTCCAGCGGTGTCGAGGTTTTTCTCTTCGCCTGCTTCCACCGGCGGAAACTGCACCCTTACCCTTCCATTCGGACCACGTGTCCTAGAGCCACTAAACTATATTAATGTCCCCGTATATCTTATACAGCTCATCGATCCATCGGCTGTGGTATTCGCTGTTCTCAATTCGCAAAGAATTATACATCTTACGCAAAAATTTTTATCTAGAAAGCTCCTGATGGCGACTCATTACATGTCCTCGTCCTTGCCTCTGCGACATACCGCAGAATGGTAATGATGAGTGACAGCGTTTGGTCTTTGTTCTGCGAGAGTGGTCATTACGTTTCACTTACCTATTCAGTCCAAAGTAGTACCAATTATTTCGATATCATCGGGGTCAGCAGCTGTACAGTCTTAAGGAAGAAGACTTCTTTCTGCAGCTCTGCAGCTCGTATTATTTTCTCCAGCATCAAATTAAGGAAGTAATACGATAAGGAATCACCTTGTCTCAAACCTCGTTTGGTATCGAACGGCCCGGAGAGGTCCTTTGGAACCTGATGTAGCTTTTAGCGTTGCTTAAGATCAGCCGTATCAGTTTAGCGGGATTACCAAATTCAGACATAGCGGCATAGAGGCAGCACCTTTCGAAGGGTGCTTTATAGTCAACGAAAATGTGATGTGCGTCGATCGTCTTTTCACGCGTCTTTTCTGAGATTTGCTTGTTTTCTCGAGCCTAAAGCTACACTGAAAAGGTCCAAGCAGTTTGTTGACGGTGAGCCTTAGTCTTTCATACAATATGCTCGATGGTAGTTTATCTGCAATATTTAAGAGACTTATCGTAGACTGTGAAATCGCCTTCGTTCGGCCATATTCAGCAAGGAAGCTGATGAATACACCTTGTCTGAACTTCATTGCCACGTATGAAAAGCTCTGCAGGTACGCTGTCAGCTCCAGCCGCTTTGGAAATGCATAACCCTATACTTAAAGCTTCGTCATACCCTGATAAATATTTATTTGTTAATTAAAAATTTCACTCACTTTTTGTTTGCAATGAGAGCCTAGTTAAATTCTTTACTGCTACATTTTGACAGTAAAAGCTCGGAGGCCTTTAACCCACCCATACATGCTCATGCTTAATACCGTGCATATTGAGAGCAACAATGCAAATGAAATGCGCGTACATTTCTTCTTAACTGTATTTTTTTATTTATAAAATAATATTTTAAGCTTTTACACACCTACCCACACATATTTACATGTGTATGCGTAAGTTCATATAAATTCACAAAAAATCACTTAAATATTTCGATAGCAACAACCACATAGCCAGTCGCATGGCATGAAAAGTGGCACAATACGCAATGCTCATATGTATGTACACGTACATATATATATATATATATGAGTATGTATGTAGTGTGAGTAAACCCATATTCGGCACTTTTTTCACTTCGTTTAAATGATTGCATTTAAGGTGAATTTGCGGTTTCATTTTACGCATTGGATTTCGTTCGATTTCTGATAAATAAGATTATGGCTGAAATATTCAATACATAAATATGTATGTATGTTGATATGAGGGCATATTTGGTATGAATAAAATTAAAAAAATCGGATTTTAAATAATTTTTATCCGATAAAAGTCTAGTTTGTGCACCAAGCATGACTTCTAAGGGCTGGTATCGAAAGTGGAATATCAGTTCAGCAATATACTGATTTTTCAAAATTTATTTTCTCAAAATTCCCTCTTATCCTTCTTCTTTTAAACCGCGCAAACAGTAGATAATTTAGCCGAAATAATAATAAGCCATCAGCTAAATGCTTCTCCATGCAGATCGACGAGATTTGTAGATAACAAAGTGAAGCCAGCTGATTTTTCCAATGGAGTGGAGGTTCTTCTCTTTCTCTTCCACTAACGAGATCCATTACTTTTAAAGCTGATTTGTCTCTTAATTCGTTGAACTATGTTATCGTATATCTCAAACAGTTCATCTCGTCTTGTCTGTGATACCACAAATCTTTTGCATAACCTTTCACTCAAACCCCTCCAAGCCCTGGCTCATCAGCTGTTGACATCGTCCTCCACACCCTCTGGTGGGACGAGAAAGATGGAAGACTTAAAATGTTTGCTCTTTGTTTTTCCTGAGAATGATTTACTTTTCAATTTCCTCTACACGGTCCAAAGTAGCAACTGTTGGGAAGTGTGATTCTGCGCTGGATACTGGAAGGCTTAGAAAGGTCCTTCTCGATTTTGTAGAAAGTTTTTGGTGTATGCTCAACGTTAGTTTTCAGAACCATATAAGTTTTTGCGGAGATGTCAAACCCATATATAACGGCGTAGCGGGCAGCTACTTTTCGTGCTCTCGAATACTATACTTCAATCAACGATTAGATGTTTGAGTGTCGATCTTTATCTCAGGTGTCTTATCCTGAATTTGACGCACACATACGACCCGGAAACCAAACGCCAAAGCTCACAATTGCCGTCTGCGGATGCCTCCGCTTGAGCCAGTCGAAGGTGAAAACAATGTTTATTGCCTTTTATGATAGCCGTGGAATCGTCCATAAAGAATTTCTTCCACCGAGCAAACCGAAAATCAACTCTGCTATCGCCAAGTACTCGAAAGATTGCAAAAACGAGTCAACAGGTTGCGCCCAGACATCGCTCGTAACTGGATCATTTATCACAACAACACGCCGTGCTACACCGCGCTCAGCGTGTCTCAGTATTTGGCCTCTAAACCGAACGCCGCGTTGCAACAACCGCCTTATTCACGCGATATGTCACCCTGTGACTTTTTTTTGGTTCCCTAGAACAAATTCGTTGGCCAAAGGAACCCATTCTAAGTCGAGGACATCCAGGCGACCGTGACGAGTGTACTCGCGGGCATCCCGTTCAAAGCATACTGGAAATGTTACGATGCATGGAAATCGCGCTGAAATCGTTGTATAGCTGCCAAAGGAGACTACTTTGAAGGGTATGGCAGAGTTGTAGAATAATTTTTGGAAATATACGTAAGTCTCATTTGATTCAAACTGGATCCACTAGCTCTGTACCAACACCCGAAAATCAACAGGAAATGTTCCCTTCATATACTCTGTATAAGCCGTACTTCATCACGCCATATCACCTCTTTGAGTTCTAGTTGAGTATGATGGATTTTCTTTGGCCAGTATCTATATTTCGAACCCAGACTACCAGTCCTAACCTATTTTGTTGTAAATTCATTATTTTCGTACAGATTTAAATTCCTTTTCAGCAAATTTTACAAAAATTTGTGGTAAATTCCACGAGCTTACTTCTTGCTTTAATCGGAACATCAGGCTATATTCATCCTTACATTTTTCCCTTGCATTTTTACATACTTACAATACATATATTCTCACGTAATTCAAGGAAACTCCACAGTTCTCATGTTTCCTACCTTTCTTTTTCTTCCCTCTTGTGCTCGTTTCATAATTTCTGCAGGACATGTTGCTGGTTGCGGCATCACGGAGGAGGTCTCCCAATGGATGGAGAGCATACAAAATTCCGCTGTTGAAGAGTTGCCCGAGCCGATGTCGAAGGATGATGTTACGCAACAACAAAAACTGCAGCACAAATTAATCAAACCCAACAGCGCGCGCATGACACAATCGCAAGATGTGGCAACAGAACAAGAAAGAGATAAAGCCGCATTACCTACAAATAAGAAACACAAAAAGACCACTGCCGCGTCAGCAACAGCAACAGCCTCAGCAGTAGCAGTAGCAGCAACAGGAGATACAAACATGCCACAACGTCCACCGAAAAAATACACCAGTCAAGCGAGCACATCAACGTCAACAACGCCACCAACGAAGGGTGGCAAATCGAAGGCTGCTGCAGATACCACCGCCAGCGCCGCGGCACTAGGCGATGATGACTTCAAATATCCTTATCAAAAATACTCTAAAGATGCTAATTTTCGCTTCGATGGCTATGCTGCTTGGCGGCCATCGTCCACTGGTGATGATGATGTTTATGGCATGCCAAGTGGCAGTAGCGATGGCGGCAGTGGTTTCTCTGGCGCATTTTATGATCCGGAAACGGGCCGCAAGTATACGCCGCAAAATATGGATCGCGATGAATGGCATGCCAAGGTGCATGAGCGGGTACGACGCGCCACTGCTGCTAATCCGAATGAGAATAAGAATACCTGTTCCCTATACATACAAACGGATCCGCTGATATGGCGGCACATACGCGAAGGAATTGCAGATGTAAGTAGATAAAATATTCATATGATGTATGATAAGGCAGAAGAAGACACGATTATATTAATTTGATTTTCCAAAAACAATAAATTTACAATTTATATTAAAATATTCTCTTCAGCACGATCGTGGCCGCAAATATGAGATTGACGTGAAGACACGCGAAGAGATTACATCATTAATCGCACATCATGTAACTGCCGTTAATTATATTTATCGTAATACGAAATTCGATGGACGTAGCGAGCACCGCAATATACGATTTGAGGTTAGAATATTCTGAGGGCAAAAGAAAAATAATTACTTTTATTAAAGAAAACTGAACTAAAATAATAAAGAAAAGAAATTAATTAAAAAAAAATTAAACAAAATAAGATAAAATTAAAAAATAAGAAAAACAAAATAAAATAAAATAAAAAAAAAAAAAAATTAAATTAAAATAAAATAAAATAAAATAAAATAAAATAAAATAAAATAAAATAAAATAAAATAAAATAAAATAAAATAAAATAAAATAAAATAAAATAAAAAAATAAAAAATAAATTGAAATAAAGTCAACAAAAAAACAAAATAAAAAATAATAAAAAAATTAATAAAAATTTAAATTAAATGAAATGAAAAAATATAAAAAAAAAAAACAAAATTAAATGAAAGGAAATGAAATGAAATAAAATTAAATTAAATAAAAAAAATAAATTACATTAAAATTAAACTAAATTAAATTAAAATAAATCAAATAAAGTAAAAAAAATAAAATAAAGTAATATGAAATAGAATAAAATAAAAAGAATTTCAAAATTAAAATAAAGTCAAACGAAATAAAATAAAATGGTAATAGTAAATCAAAGTAATCTCAAATAAAGCAAGCCTAACAATATATAATTAAAAAGAGATAAAATGAAAATAAAATATAATAATAATAAAATAAAATAGTAATAGTAAATTAAAGTAACCTAAACTAAAATAAACCTAAAACTAAATAACCTTAATAAAATAATAATAATAATAACCTAAATTAAAATAAAAAATAAAATAAAACTAAATTAAATTAAATGAAATAAAATAAAATAAAATAAAATAATTAAAATGAAAAGAAATGAAATAAAATAATATATTGTAAATTTAATTGAAAAAAAAAATAAATAAATAAAATACAGGAGATTTAAATTAAATTGAATTCAAAATATTTAATAAAATTGATATAAAATACAATTAGTTAAATAATTTATAAAGATAAAATAAAGTAAAAACAAGATTGAATTAAATAAAAAAGGAAAGCGTAGAAAATAAACAAAAAATTAATAAATTAAAATATAATAAATTAAAATAAAATATTAAAATTTGTTAAAGTAAATTTATATATAATTAAATTATTTTATTTAAATTTTTTTCCCAAAACTTCATCAAAACCCAAAGGTGCAACGTATTAAAATCGACGACGACTCCGCTTGTCGCAACTCATACAATGGTCCGCACAATGCCTTCTGCAATGAGCATATGGATGTGTCGAACTTTTTGAATTTGCACTCGCTGGAGGATCATTCGGACTTTTGTTTAGCCTATGTGTTCACTTATAGGTGAGTGTAAATAACAGAAATGATCTCATTTTCAAATTTTCATATTCATAAATACATTCCGCAGAGACTTCACCGGCGGCACGCTGGGTTTGGCTTGGGTAGCTAGCGCCTCTGGTGCTTCTGGTGGCATTTGTGAGAAATTCAAGACTTACACCGAAACTGTCGGTGGGCAATATCAAAGCACAAAACGCTCGTTGAATACGGGCATCATAACATTCGTTAACTATAATAGTCGTGTGCCGCCGAAGGTGTCACAGCTGACGCTGGCGCACGAGATCGGGCATAATTTTGGCTCACCGGTAAGTTGATGGATTATTTTTCGTGCTTTATTTTCTACTTCGTTTTTTTTATAAGCAACACTGAAAATATTTATTTTCCATTTATTTCTCAGCACGATTACCCACTGGAGTGCCGTCCTGGTGGCTTGAACGGCAATTACATCATGTTTGCTAGTGCCACGTCGGGTGATCGGCCGAACAATTCGAAGTTCTCACCTTGTTCCATACGTAACATCTCTAACGTACTCGATGTTTTGGTCGGCAACACAAAGCGCGACTGCTTCAAGGTGTCGGAGGGCGCTTTCTGTGGCAATAAAATTGTGGAGTCGGGCGAAGAATGTGATTGTGGCTTTAACGAGGAGGAATGCAAGGACATTTGTTGTTATCCACGCATCATTAGTGAATATGATATATCGATGAATAGCTCTGCCAAGGGTTGTACACGTCGCGCTAAGACGGAGTGCTCGCCATCACAAGGTCCTTGCTGTCTCTCGAACTCATGCCAATTTGTACCAGCGAACAATCATCAGAAATGCAAGGAGGAAACGGAATGTTCTTGGTCGAGCACATGCAACGGCACCACAGCCGAGTGTCCGGAGCCGAAGCCGCGTGATGATAAAACAAAATGCAACAATGGCACAGCGCTGTGTATACGTGGCGAGTGTTCGGGCAGCATTTGCTTGCTGTGGAACATGACGGAATGTTTTCTCACCTCACAAGCGGTGCCGCATGTCGATAAACGTCGACTGTGCGAACTTGCTTGTCAGAATGGCAACGATAGTGGCACTTGTCGCAGCACTAGTGAATTTGCACACCAATTCGGCCTGCCCGAGGGTGGTATTAACCTACGACCCGGTTCGCCTTGCGACAACTTCCAAGGCTATTGTGATGTTTTCCTCAAATGTCGTGCTGTGGATGCAGATGGTCCGTTGGTGCGACTGAAGAATTTATTGCTCAATCGTGAAACGCTACTGACTGTGGCGCAATGGGTTACGGAGTACTGGTACTATGTAGTTATTATGGGCGTGGGCTTTATCATTGTGATGGGCATTTTCATTAAGTGCTGCGCTGTGCACACGCCTAGCTCAAATCCGAAGAAACGACGCGCGCGACGCATTAGCGAGACGCTGCGTGCGCCTATGAACACGCTGCGGCGCATGGTGAGTGTGCGTGAAGCATGTTCGATACATATCTTATTCATGTTTTTAACTTTCTTTCTATTCACAGCAACGTCATCATCAAGGACGTGGCGCCGGGCCACGTAGCATACCACCGCCTGCGCACGAACAGCGTGGCGCCGTTGCTGCTGGTGGTCAACATCATCGCAGCGCGCATCCTCATCACTGGGATCGTCATCAGGGTGGTCACTCGGTGGTGCCGCTTCCAACAGGTGGTCCACATAATAGTCATCATCACGCTGCTGGTGGACGCACATCGGCTAGTGGCGCTTCGGCGGCTGCTGTTAGCAGTCGTGCCGCAGCTAATGGACGCAGTTCGCGGCCATCAACACGTCCTACAAGCGGCACACGCAGCACAACACATGGCGGGTATGCAGATGCGCCACCAGCTGGTCTTATAGTTGGTGGCATACCCACCGGTGTTGGTGGAACTAGTAATAGTGTTGGTGGTGGTGGTGGTGTTATGCCAAACAGCGCGCTGTTAGTTAGCGGTGGTGGTGGCAATGGTGGCGCTGTTGTAGGTCCCAGCGCGGGCGTGATAGCGCGCCAACAAATGCCTCTGCCACTGCCGCCCACCGGCGCGGTACAAGCACAACAATTACAACAACAACAGCAACAACAAGTGCAGGCAACACTAACGCAAGCATACTATGCGCCGCCGAAAGGTGCGTTTCCGCTGCCAGCGGCACAAAAGGCAAAACGTGTTAGCGCGCCGAAGAAGCGACGCGCGTAGTTTAGTTTTAAAGCAAAAAAAAATTTTGCATACAATTTTGGATTTGATTTTTTTCTTCGATTTATTTTTTACACTTTTACATGTGTGCGCGTATTATAAGCGGCACTAAGTATTTTACGCACAATTTTAAAAAAATCCAATTCACTTTTATTAAATTTTTTATTTCAATTTTTTGTTTATTTACATAATATTATTTTCCTTTCTCTCAACACTTTTCCAAATGAAACCAAACAAAAACAAATATCGTTTACCATCAAACACAGCACCAGCCGCCAAACGAAATAAATCCCGCAATCCAGCCGCTCACACCTCGGCGGCCGCTGCGGTTAGGCGCTCTACAAAAGAGTCGCCACAGCGCGCTAAACAGGCCGTCGCGAAAAAACACCGCAAGGTCGTTTACTGAACCTACCGATCTCCACAACACGACAAAAGCTATATAAAAAATAGATATCTGTAGATGTCTTTCCACGTTTTCATTCTCACTAAATTGGTATGACACACTCTCCAATCCCTTACAATTTCATTTATTTGAATTTTTTCACTTCCACTATTAACAACTTTGTAACTCTTTGAATTTTTTTCTCATAACAAATTTCCAAAAAAAGAAAAACAAACACTTTTTTATTTTTTTTTACTTTTGTAGTCACTTTTTTTTTCAATTATTTTGCACTCGCAAAATATAATTCGAAATTGCATTTCATTATTGCAAGCATATATTTTTGTTGTTGTCGTTTTTCAATGTTGTTGTTTTGTTTCAGCATGTACCAGCGTTTGGTTTTGTATGCATCTAAACATTTTACTTATATTATTTAGTATTTTAGCTCAAATTAACAATAAACTCATTTTGTATGTATGTATATGTTACATGATTAACAGCAATTCAATTAAAAAACTTATTGTAATTGTTCTTATTAACAATAGTTATGTGATTTATTCTTACTAATAACTGTGAATGTGTAAAACTACTTACAATGTATGTAATTAACAATGTTAGGTTAGGTTTGCCCGAGCTAACGGCTCTACTTTGCCCGCGCGCCCCTGAAGTAAATTAAAAAGCAAATATAACAATAAAATAAAACTAATAAAAAATAATGAAGAAATTATTATAAATTGCTTTAAATTAATAAAAACTTAACTAAATTAAATTTAATTATAAATGAAAACAAAATTAAACTTAAAGCTTAAAATTGAATTAAACTAAATAAAAAAAACTGAAATTTAAAACCTGAACGAAATATAATAAAATAAATAGATAAATAAAAGTTATAAAAAACTGAATTTAGCAAATAATTGAAATAATAAAATAAAACAAAAAATATATTTCAAATTCATTAAATGAAGATTTATTGAATAAAAATTATTTTATTTATTTTTATGAAATAAAAAAAAACTAAAGAAAATGAAAAATAAATAAAAAAAAATTAAAATTATAAAAAATAATATTAAGGAAACAAGTGAAATAATAAAATAAAACAAAACTAAAATTACATTAATTAAATTAAGTTTTAATGAATTCAAATATATAAAATAAAAAAAATTAAATTAAAAGAATAGGAACTATGCAAAATAAAATGAAATGAAATACTAAATTAATTAAAAAATTACAAAGTTATTTCAATTCAAAAAATATAAAAAAATAGATAAAAAGAAGAAATAAACCTAAATGTTATTGAAGTAAAATAAATATAACAAAAAACAAATTAAATAAATTAAATAATACAAATCGATTTAAATTTTAATTAGATGAAAAAAACATTAAATTGAGTTCAGTGAAAAAATAAAACAAAAATAAATTGAAAAATAAAAGAATAAATGAAACAAAAAGTTGAATTGATAAAAATACAACAAAAAATAAAGCAAAAAATAGAGATACATATTAATTAAAAAATAGAAAATATAAAGATAAATAAATTGCATATATTAAAATAAAATAAATTCTTAAATTAAATGATAATATTAAATTGAATTCATTAAAGTATAAAAAAAGAAAAAAAAAAACAAAGCTTAATGATATAAAATATAAAAATAAAATAAAATAAAATAAAATAAAATAAAATAAAATAAAATAAAATAAAATAAAATAAAATAAAATAAAATAAAATAAAATAAAATAAAATAAAAAAAATAAATTAAAATGAAATAAAATGAAATAAAATAAAATAATATAAAATAAAATAAAATAAAAAAATATGAAATGAAATGAAGTGCAATGTAATTAAATTAAATAAAAAATAATTAAATATAAATAAATTAATAAAACAAAAATAAATTAAAATATAAAATTGTTATAAAGATAAATTAAAAACCAAACCAAAATAATAATAAAAAATATTTATTTTAATTAAATTTAATAAAAAATTCAAAATAATATAAAATAAATTCAAAGGTAGTTTAATTAGTTGGAATTAAACAAAGCATAGGTTTGAAAGAAAAAAAATTAAATTAAATTAAAGGCATTAAAATTAAAGTAAATTAAAATAAAACTGAACCAATTAAAATTAAATAAAATAACTTGAAAGGAAATAATAGTTTAATTAAAGAAAATAAAATTAAATTAAAATTAATAAAGTAATTTAACAAAAATTATTGAATTATAAAAATTTTAATAAATTAAAATAAATAAAAAAAATAAAGTAAACACAAAAAATAAAAGATAATAATATAAGAATATTTAAATTATAATGGAATAAAATTAGTTAAACGAAATATAAAAATTAAATACTTTAAACTTATTTAAATTGAATTCAGCAAAATAAAGTATTCTTAAGTACGAAAAAATTTGTTATTAAATATAAAATAAAATACTGTTTTAATTTAAAATAAAACTTATTTTATTAAATTTTATTAACAAATTGAATTAAACGAGATTAAAATAAAATACGTTTAAACATTACTAAAATTACAAGAAAAATAAAATAAAATGAGAAAATAAGGAACTGATTAAAGACAATTAAAAACCAAATGAAATTAAAAAAATTAAACAAATACATTAAATTAAATGAAATCTTAAAAAGCTCATAATGACTTTTTGAATGCATCACTATTTGAATTACAAAATTAACTTTACCTTAAATTTAGTAATAAAAATAGTGGTGCTTTAAAAAAAGCAAAAGTTGTACTCTAAAGCTGCATCACGCATTTACTAGTTAATTTTACTAACAGCAAATTTGTGTGTGCGTATGTATGATATATTAAACTAGATATATTAAAATATTAAAAATATTTCAACTGACTTAATTTTATATATATATATATTTGTTTCTCCTTTACGCCAACACACAGCCGTCGCTCCGCAACCAGCAAATTATAATCGGCCGCCATCGCTGCATAATCCAGAGTTGTATGCGGACGCTTATGCTGCGCTGGGCAGAGGGGCATATGAGGCGACTACACGACCAACCAATAGCAAAGTTTGACAGCAGCAACAGCAAACGGGACAGCGGCAAACGCTTAAGAAGCAGCAGCAGGAACAGCAGCAGCAAAAATCAACAACAGCAACAAAAACCACTGCAGTAACAACACAAAAATCAAATGAACTCAAATTAAATGTAAATGTACTTTTTACGCTAATTATTATAATTTAAAATAAACAAAACAAACAAAAAAAAATAGAGAACGAAACAAAGAAATTGAGAAAATATAAAAAATAACTAAAAATAATACATAAATATATATTTTTTAAATTAATTGATATACAAAATACACAAAAAAAAAACAGAGTACATAAAATAATCAAAGCAAAAGAGAAGAGAAAACTAAATTAAATAGTGTAATAGCATAAACGTATAAGTATAGGTAAAATAATGTAAATTTCCAAGTTTAATATAAAATACGACAAATGTATGAAAGAAGACAAACAGTAAGAATTAGTTAATAAAAATGAAAGTGCATAATTCAAAGGTAAAAATAAAAAATACTGATATTTTGTGCAAAAAAAAAAATATACAAAGAAAAGGGGGAAAAGGAGGGAGAGCATAATAATAAGCAATGCGAATGTTAAATTAAAAAAACACACAAAAATACAAAAACCAAACGCAAACACGTCAAAAAGACTATAAAGCAAATTGATATAAAAACTGTAGACACTAATTTAATTATACATAAATGCTTACATACATATACATAAAAATTCATACATCACTGACAAATTAGTTATTTACAACAAATATGCAATACTACTAAAAGTGAAAACATTAAAAATGTATTGTAAGTGTACTTGATTAGCTGGCAATTGCAGATGCATTTGGTATATTTCAAAGGTAGTAAAGTAAATTATAATATTCATTCAAAATTTTAAGTATTCAAATATTTACATTAAATCTTTTCGCGTATATAGAGAATTAAGGAATTTTAAGTTATGTTTTGTTTCAGTTATTTTAATGAATTCCACTTCCAATATCAATATCAAATAAAACCAAAATTAAATGAAATAACATAAAATAAAATAAAAAATATGAATTAAAAGAACCAAATAAAATAAACTAAGCAAATTAAAGTAAAATAACGTAAATAAAAAAAATTAAAATCACACAAGTAAATGATCTTAATTAAATAAATTTAAATAAAATAAAATAAAAGTATATAAATTAAAAGAACCAAAATCTAATTAAATAAATTAAAATAAAAGAACATATTTGATATATAATATAATAAAAATATAATATAAAGAAATAAAAAAAATTAATTAAATAAATTAATATAAAATAAAAGAAAATAAAATAAAACCAAAAAAATAAAAATTAAAAATACTAAATTAAATTAATAAAATAGATAACAATAAAATAAAATTAAATTAAATAAGAGTAAAAAAGATGGAAGAATAATACAAAATAAATTAAAGTAAATAATTAAATTAAATTAAATAAAAAATGAAATACAAAAAATAAAAATAATATACTAAATTAAAATAAAATAACGAAGTATAAACAATATAAAAATAAATTAAATTAAATAAAGTAAATAAAATAAAATAATACAAAATAAATAATAATAAATATTGACTTACATTGAATAAAAAATAAAATACAATAAAACAACAATAGAATAATAAATTGAAATATAAACATTAAGTATAATCGAAGTAAAATAAAATTAAATTAAAGTAAATAATATAAAGTCATTATATTTAAAAAATTAAATAAATTAAAATAAAATAACATATAAAAAAATAAAACACAATTAAATAAAACCAAAAAAAAAATAAAATTAAAAATACTAAATTAAATTAATAAAATAGATAACAATAAAATAAAATTAAATTAAATAAGAGTAAGCAAGATAGAAGAATAATACAAAATAAATTAAAATGAATAAATAAATTAAATAAAGAATGAAATACAAAAAATAAAAATAATATATTGTAGTAAGTTAAAATAAAATTATGAAGTATAAACAATATAAAAATAAATTAAATTAAATAAAATAAATAAAATAAAATAATACAAAATAAATAAAAATAAATAATTAAATTAAATTAATTTAAAAACGAAATACAAATAATATACTAAATTAAAATAAAATAACGAAGTATAAACAAAATAAAAATAAATTAAATTAAATAAAGTAAATAAAATAAAATAATACAAAATAAATAATAATAAAATA